ACAGAGTTTATAGAGCCCCTCATGGTAAAGCAAACATGTTTGGCACAGCAGTGCATTCAGACCATGATTCTGCTTGCTAAAGGACAGGACAAAAAAAAAAAAAGTGAACATGTCATTTTCTTTCAGTGGGTGCATCTCCTCTTTCATAGCATCCATCCACTTATTGGACTGAGCAGAATTTACAGCTTCTGGAAATGTCTGTGGTACATTACTAATTAACCTGTAACAATAGTCGATATTGGTCAGTACCTGGTCATCTATGTCATCTTCAATCTCATAGTCATTCAAGTACCCTGGCTTCCTATGCTCTCTGCTGGGGTAGCGTCTGTCAGAACTGTCTGTACGAGTGTGGCTGTCCTGAGTCGGTACATGATTCTCTTCAGTAACTTCTGGGATGTCACTGGTCCCACGGATCTGTCTAGTGTCGGGTCTCCTCCTCATGTCATCGTCACTACAGTCATCACCATTTATTTGGTCAGTCTGTGTTCTGCTCTGCTGTACTCTTTTCAACAAATTTAACAAGTCTGTGCTTCAGGATTTTACCAGTATCTGGATAGTATATTAGGTAGGCGGGGCTATGTTTGTCGTATCCAACAAAAATTCCCTTCTCACACCTAGAATCTAATTTCTTTTTGTCTTGTCTGTATGCAAAACACACTGTTCCAAATGTTTGTTTCCTAGAAATGTTAGGTTTCTTTCCAGTCACCATAAAGTACGGTGTTTGTTTAGTACGACTACAGTAACACCGGTTCTTGACTACTGCTGCTGTTTGTATCACATATACAGTACCCACATGTCTTTGGGCAAACTACTCTCAATGATCATGCACCTAGCCATAATGAAAAGTGTTCTCCACTGGCATTCTGCAGTGCCATTCTGGTGTGGCGAATAAGGTGCTGATGTTTCATGCCTAATCCTATTTCTGGTTAGTAGTGACCTAAATTCTCTACTTGCAAACTCTGTACCATTGTCAGATCTTATGCATTTAAATTTACCATAAGGTGCCGTGTCTGTAATAAACTTCTCCAAAGCTGCTGTAGTGTCACTTTTGTTTTTCAGAAAATATACAAATATTGCACTGGAAAAATCATCAGTAAAAATCATTGCATACTCCATTGGACCTGCTAAATCTGTGTGCACTAGTCCTAGTGCTTCTCTAGGGTTTCTGTTTCTACTCTGAGTAAACTTTCCCTGAACACACATTTCACAGTTAAGGGAAGACATCAATTTTACCTTTAATATTCATGCCATCAATAACATTTTTTAACTTAGAAATGCTGTCAAAATTACAGTGTCCAAGAACATCGTGCTACTTCTGTACATTCTGACAACTATTACAATTGTCATCACTTTCATCATTAATTGTGTTTAAGAAATAAAGTCTGTTATATTCCTTAATGTTAAATTCATTACCGTCTTTAAGCTTAATTATATCTTTTCCCTTCTGGAAGATCACTTTGGCGCCACTTGCTGTTGCTGCTTTCACAGAAAAGATGTCCTGTGGATATGAGGGAATGTACAACACGTTTCTCAGCGTCGCTGTACAATATTGTCCTCTGCTGTCGACCAGCTTTACCACTGCGTCACCTCTCTGTTGTGCTACTCATTTGGTTCTGGTTCCGTCCGCTAACTCCATGGTGTATTTATCCGGTTGGAAATCACTGTCAAACTTTCGAAACTTCTTAATGTCGGTAATGATGTCACCCATCAGGCCCTTCAGCTTCACTCTCGGTTGGGCCTTATTTTCACTCATCTTGAAAACGAAACTATATTCGGTGTCCTTCTCAGCCATCTGCTTCTCGTTATCTTTATCACGCTCCTCCCATGGTTTTGCTGGGCTGCTCTCCGTCTCTGTATGTAGTCAGTATAAAGTCCGACAGCCAGGTCTTGGTGAAACACAGGGCAGAATCTTGGCAAAGTCTTTCTTTGTCTGGGTTAACAGAAGAAGCACTTCTGTTTTATTTTGTAGCAAGCACACATTGGAGAGACAAAGAGATGGTAGCAGAGTCCAGAAACCTCCGTGCCCGGCCTCTCCTTCACCTTCGGATTAACTTAAGCAAAGATAGGGCAACCACTGTGAGGATCTCCATGAAGTTCGAGGGTTCAGTAAGAAATTCAAGGATGAAAAAATGCAGCTTATAATCACTGAAGGTGAGCAGTTGTTCTCTGTTCTAGGTAATTTCTTTTGAAGTTAGTTTAGATTACAGATAATGTCTCTCAGGTATACAGTTAAATATCATGATTACCTAGATAAAAAATTATGATAAATAATGATTAATAATAATAATGATTATAAAACACTGGGAAAAATTAAATGTAAATTAAATGGGAACTCTGACGTTACCGACTTGTTCTCACATCACCATACCAGAAGCCCAGTCAGCAAGTTTTAACGTCAGCTGTTTAGCGGATTGTCTATGGATTGTTTTAAAAAAATCTTAACTGGCCTGCTCTTTATCAGTTGTCAGGGAATGCTTTAGCACAAAACTAGTGAACACTTAACCAATCCAAGAAGCCAAACCACAGCTTAATTTAAAATTCAATCAGATTTGTGCAATAGGTATCGATTGGTGTAAATTGCAGAGTGCACTGCCTGTTTGATCACAGTATTAATTTAAACCTATACTTGATATAGGGCCGTACTGAGCTGGCATGGTAAAAATTGGGTCACAGTGCGAGAATGGTTGAGAACCACTGCTTTCAAGTTATTTCTGTAGAAGTTTGTGAGGACTGCTGCCAACATCTGGACATTATCTGGGTGTCTGGGGAAGAAAAGAAACACATTGGTACTTCATCTTGATTAATATATAGATGTGTCTGTGATGGTGACTCCCAGGAAAATTCTCACTCTGTCCAAGTCTGAAATGGAAGGGCCCAAAGAATTTAATTCAAAATACATATGACAAATGTTATAAAAAACTGTATAACAATATTATAATTAATATAATACTACAATTTCTAAAATATTCAATTCTTATTATTGAATATCATTGGCATATAAATGTTTTTGCTTGTATTTGTATTTTTGTTTGTGTCGATTCTAGGAAGATGTTTGTCCTATTCAAGAGGTCACTGTTTTTCCTGATTCCATTTTTTATTGTAAGTATTAAATTTTTTTTAATGTAAATAACATGAAATCAATTGCAATCAAGACATACTCCAACAGCTTTTGGCCAGAATTTCTGACAGTAAATAACAGACAGATTGATATTGCATTATGTGTAATCAGGAAAGGTATTGAACATTTACTGTCAAAAAATAGATTAACCCTCAGACCCTGCAGCTTTAATTTGTCATACTTTATGTAAACTGAGGCTGCCCGATACAGGTTCTGTCACTCATTTGAGGAAAAACTAAAATAACTAATAAAAAATAATTAAGAATTATTTAAATAATTAGAAAGTGTGCATGTGTCTGTGTCTGTATTTTTTACATCAAATAAAGCCATTGACTTAAAGTCTGGTGCACAAAACAAATCATTCAAATTTTTCATTTGTTTTCATATAAAAACATAGTAATTTTGATTTAGCATCTGACAGTTTCTGTGGAATTAAAAAAAATCTCCATTTCTTTGTACATATTCATTAGGTGATCCTGTATTTAATAAGGAACCCAGCCTCTACAAAGTGGACAGTGCCAAAGCCAATGTCTCGCCATCTGACCCCGTACCCCGTGTTCCCTCACAGAAGATGCATACAGCTGCTAAATACCACACACTCCGTGGTCCATTTCCCTACAAGCCAGCCGTCTTCCACCATTAAACATGTGCTAAATTGCACTGAAGAATGGGATTTCCTGTTAGAGATGCTCAAGTGGCCTTCACCCACCATAGAAAACCCCACCCCCACTGAAGCCACAGACCCACGCAAATGCACCTTTACTGTGCTTAATTGGAAGGATAACTACATTGTAGGGGACTTTGTAAATGTATCAGTGGTCGCAAGAAATGGCAGAGGAGTTCCTAAAACATATGGAGGGGACTTCTTCCAAGCCAAGTTATACAACACAGAGCTCAAAGCTAGTACATTTGGTCTTGTGGTAGACCATGACAATGGGACCTACTCAGTCAGCTTTGCACTCCTTTGGCCCAGCCCTGCCCACGTTTCTATCCGGCTGATTCACTCCAGCGAAGCTGTTCAGGTATTGAACCGGCATAGAGAGCGGGATCCGGACAAGGTCTTCTTCACTGGATACTTTGAGGATGGGGATATAAAGGAGAATGTGGTGTGCAATGCCATGAAGAGCCCACGGCTGGTGGGGGATGGAAGCCGCTGCTGCTGTGAACACCGTGACCCTCGCAGTGGGGAGGTCTGGTTCTGCCGCCGACCCACCTCTCTGCCCTGCAGTGCTCTGGTGTACCACAGCATGGGGGGGTACCAAGCCCAACTGTCCACAAAAGAGTCCAAGATCCTAGACAGGTGAGGCTCTGCCGTTGTTTACATTGAATATTAGGGTTGGACAGTCTTGCAATACTTAACTCCTGCACTGATTAAAATCATTCTGAAGCTATTTATAGAATGGTACTCCAGAGTTCCTTGGTCTGAACCTAAATTTTCTTGGTATTTACCATGATTCAGTTTTTTTTTTGTAAGCCAGAAACTGAAACTGTCAGTTTGTCAATTATTAATGACAAACACTATAATAATAATAAATACACACTGCCAGTGAAAAGTTTTTGAACACTTCTTTTATTATAATTTAAGAATGATCAGTGCCACAGGCAAAAGTTAACCCTTTCATGCATGGTGTCCACATTTGTAGACAGTTAAACTCCATTTTGGGTTACTTTCTCATGACAGTTCTCCAAAACCATAATGGGCATTATCAATATATCCATAACAATATTGTAACAGTAGTTAATATCTTGTACAGTATAACACATTTCCTTTGATTGCTGACACCTTAAATCCAAGGTGTCTGATGGTGATAGCCATGCACGTTATGCTTCAGGCATATCTGTGGAAAACTTCTATTCAAAGAGGTGAAGAAAAAAAATATTAGTATGCATAACTGTGATGAACATGTCTGTGTTTTGTAAACCTAAATTTAGAATAAAATGTAGTCTTTATAACTCAAAAACCAACTGTCCACATATGTGGACATCATGCAACAGTCGGAATGGGCGGTGCAGGAACCTCCGGGGCGCAGCCGGAAAGGGCGGCGGGGCAAGAGCCTCAGGGACAGGCGGAGCAGGAACCACCAGCACAGGAACCGCGGGGGGTGGAGCATCGACCGCCGGTGCACAGGAAAGCGCCTCAGGTGCGGGCGCGACCTCATCTGTCGAGGGAGCCTGCTCTGTCCTCAACTGGAGCAGCCTCCACAGGTTCTCTGCTATTATGTCCAGCTGGTGGTGAAATCGGGGTGAACGCTGCAAACTCAAACTCCCCTGGAAGCTGTGTACACAGCTGGGCAGCCTCTGGGGAGTCCTGCACTGTTGAATCGTCATCACCTTCCAGAAAAGACCCTGGAGGGTGAAGAACATCCCAGCCAGGGACGTGGCGGCAGCAAAACATGCTTCGGGCGATCGCTCCGGTGAAGCTGCGGTGGTGACGTCATTCGCAAAAACCGCCAGATTCCGAATCGGGAGGGGTTCCTCCCGACATGTAGCAGGGCAGGCAGCAAAGATAGAGACGGCACCAAGGAAGATCTCTGGTGTCTTCTCACATCATTTGTGCCTCCACTTCTTTTCCCCCCTTTCTGACAAAGCCTGGGGCATCTCTGGCAAATCCGGCCAAAGATCATACGTCAAGCCAGTCTGTGGCTACCTGCCTCAGGTTCGCTTTGGCCGCCCTGCCTCTCAGCCACTGCAGGTTGTTGCTCACCTCTTCCATGAGGTGAGAGTCTTCGGAAGGGGACATCTCTTCCAACATGTCCCTCGTCCAGAAGGCGAGGGCTCGCAGCCCGGGGTCGTCCTTTACCAGTATAGAGCCTCATTAGGCAGATCGAGGTATCGCTCCTTGATCCGAGCAGGCGTCTTCTTAAGGAGTTCCGTCATTCTGTCATGATCGGTCGGACGAGCAGGGAGCGGAGAATCAGGGTCGGGACACGGAGATCCAGGAAACGGGATTTATTAGGGCAGACAAGGCACAGCACGGTCAAGACGTTAATGACGGAACTGGGGATACATACTCTGATGTGGACTTAAATACACAGGACTTAGCAAAACAACAAGAAACAGCTGATAACATCAGGATTTCACACGAGGTTAACGAGGGGGGTGTGGCACACAGGAGGATCGTACGAGTTGGGCGTGACACCTCTGACACAGTGGCAAGTGGAAATATTTATTATCCATGTCATACATCCATGAAAGGGTTAAAAGGTACAGAATAACAATTAAGAAACAATATTTTAAAATTGAGAAACAACTGCTGTGTAATAAAAAAAGCCACGTAGCCACCTTTTACAGTGATTACCACTGACCAAACTCTAGGCATTCTATTAAAAACAGAATTTCATAGCAATTTTATCATGTGCAAAAGCTAGCTAGGACATTACCTTTGCTGTTTCGGCTATTAAAAAATTAGCAGAGATCGTTTACTGTTGCTGTTCAATTATTGCAATGTTGCAGCATGTGGCTACAGAAAAACTAAAACCTGTGAGGTGGCATGTGGCCCTGCCACTTCTGTGTTTGAGCAGAAGGTCGCCAGATCTAGTCCCGTGGCTGGTAAAGTGGTTTCACTGTTGTTTTGGATAAAATAATAATGAAAAATGCTTTTCATAAAGGTTCATATTCAGTAAATACCTAAGAGCACTGAACTAAATTTTACAAGATCAGGTATTAGTGAAATTAAAAACACATCTTTTATGGGACTGTTAAAATTCACATAGTTGACCCTTTTGAGACTATCGACTAAAATAACTCACTGTTTATTTCTGCAGGGGTAATACAAACATTGTCCTTCCAGGAAGCAGCTCAGTCATCAACGTCTTTGCTCAACATACTGATATTCGTAAGTGTTCTTAGTCCTCTTACTTATTGCTATAAAGTCTCAACAAATACAGATATTTAACCAGTATGGCATATTACACATGGTATGGTATGGTATGGTATGGTATGTAACTGAGATCTCCACCAAAGGACATTTAAAATTATTTTTAACTATCTAACATCGTTATGTGTCCAAAGAATTCTATACATGGAACTGATTTCAATTTTCTATTGCTTTGTCTGCTGACTGATCAGTGGGTTTTTACTGGAAGCACCAGAACAATGTATGAATAAAACTGCAAGCTACTAACAGTCCACAGTTTTAAAAGTGGATCTTACCACCTAGTTCATACTTCAGTTTTCCTCCTGCTGTTATGGTCCTAGTATGGTTGTGGTTGCAGACTCTTGTGTACATATTACATTTGTCTGTGGGTGCAGACGGTCGTGGTCCGTGCAGCAATGATATTCCTTCAGACCAGCAGAGGGAATATGTACTGCAACAAACACATAAACAAGCAGTGTAGTGAAATGGGTAAAAAAGTTTTTACTAGGCTTGGGTGGTATTACAGTAACAGGGCTTGTCCTTGTTGAAAAATGCAGGCGCACACAAATTTGTGCACCTAAAAAGTGCTAGGTGCACAATTTTTTTTGTGCACACTAAAAGTGCTAGGTGCACAATTTTACTTTTTTTGTGCGCCTAAAATGTGGTTGGACTTTGGTGCAATGGGTCAAAATGTACTTGTATATATTTCTGTTTTTTGTAGTCCTAGTGTTAGTTGAGAATTTTGTCCTAGTTTTAATGCTTTAACATATTTTATAGAAACCCATTTAAAGTGAATAATTTTTTATTGGTGAATAAAATTTGCAATTCAGTCTTTTTTGCATCAATACTTTGGAGATTGTCCTCAATTTGCATAACACTTGCTGCAGAAGGCACAGAGGGGAAGAGCACCATAATATTAACATTATATGGGCCAAAATACACATCATACACAACTGAGCAAATCAAATGTGGCATAGAGTAACCCTGACAATTACAAGAAAAGAGAAACCTTCAAAACAAATGCCTAGTCTAAGTGCTGTTGTTTGCCCTCAATGAGGGTCACTATTATTGGACCACCCTTAAGAGACTACTTGCTCACAGTGCACAGGATATCAGGATTTGGCACATTGACGATCTCTGACAGTTTTTGAGGTGAAAAAAACAGATTGTTTGAAAAATATAAAATATTTAAAAAATCGAGGCGGCACCAAAAAATTGAGGCGGGCGGCCATGTAAAACAATTTATTAATTTTAAGTGGCCTAATGTAAACCTATACAATATTAACAATAACTGATCTGATTTCAAATGCAATAGTAGTGGAAAGCGTACGTGGCAGCAAGTCAAGATGAAATATAAAAACATCATGTCTTTTTTATTGATAGGCGCGCATTTCTTTGCGCAGCTCTTCACCATTTTAGGCGCGTGATGGCGTGCACGCGCAATTGCGCACCTTAAAGGACAAGCCCTGGAGTAATATGGCATACTACAGTATTTTGAAATATTGGCAATGTGGGCTGCATGTGTACAGTACATCAGACACCCCTGATTTTGAAATGTATGTTACTGCGAGGAACATAACAACATGCAGAAAAGTTAAGTATGAATTGGCCTTTAAGAGACATACAGCATTCCAATCCCTCCAGTCCCTTTGTGCAAGGGAAGTGTAGTAAGGAAATCCAAAGTTAAGTTATTCACTCCCCAATTAGAACTCCACCTCCTCACTTATTCACTTACTCAATATCAGTTACCGTTACAAAATTTCAACACAAACATAAAATATACGTTTTTTTATAATATACTGCTGTCATTTGGATTTGTACGGTTATTTATTGAAGACTGTGAAAGAACCTGTTCAAGTACCGGTTTGGATGTTTGAATCTAAATTTTATAAATGCAAACATAAGACCTGCGTAGTATGTGGGTGATAGAGTACTGTGTCTCTGGACATATATAAAATACAGCTGAGGCTAAAGCATTACAAACACCTAGGCTAAAGAATTACAATCAGGTTTATTAACCAAATGCGTTCACACACACAGGAAATTTGTCTTTGGCTGTCAGTGGCTCTCATACACACAGTACATACAATGGGGAAAATAAGTATTGAACATGTCAACATGCATTAGTAAGTACAGTATGTACAAAACAATACAATAGGTATAGTGACTTATTTACAGTAATCAGGTATTATTGCTTGGGGGGGGGGGGGGTAGCGGTGCAACTGAGTTAACTGTTTATAAGAGTGGTGAATTGTGGGAAGACAGGGCACTTCATTGTTTTGGTGCACAGTGATCTGTAGTGCCTTTTGGAGGGGAGAAGTTCAAAAAGGTTGTGAGCTGGGTGTGGGGGTCAGTGATGAATTTCCCTGCCCGTATCCTGTCTCGGTATGAGTTTAGATCCTGGAGGGTGGCCAGGTCAACACCAATGATCTTTTCTGCACATGGTTATTTGTTGTAGCCCATTCATATCTCTTTTGTGCTTGAGTTCAATCAGACTGTGACTGATAAGCTAAAAACAGATTTGATAATTGCTGTGTAGCCACACAGATGGAACCAGGATATAGATTCAAACCCTGGTCCTAGAGGCGTGAGGCAACAGGGCTAACCACTACACCACAGTGCCATATTCAGGCCTGTACTCATTCACTCTTTTTAATCAGGTTTTTCGTACTAGAATATTGGTGGAATGTTTGAAGTGTGGGGGGGACTCGGTAGAGTTCTACTGATCTGTTGAAGATTTAAGGGTGTACTCACACTTGGCCAAGTTCCTTGTACTGTCCCCCCTCCCCACTTCCCAGCTGGTCTGCGCTCACATTGAGCTTATTGTTCAGGGTCAGCACCATGCAATTTTTTTGTGCTGAAGGAAACGTAGGAAGAAAAACATTATTGTGCAGCACAATGGAGCTCATGATTAATGTCCTTATTTTGTGCCTTATTTGGGGTCGTTTTGGACACGATGACACACGGCCCTCTTATAGGTTCATGCTAGTATGCAATGCAGCGATTTTTATTTATTCATTTTACAAATCTCTTTTGTATGTTGTATCCAGTTGTTCCTGGATACTCTCATCAGAAATTTCCAGCAAACTCTGCACCTCTGCCATAGACCAAAGTATTACCATGTTAATTAAATGTTTGTCACTACCTGATTTATACATATAATTTTTTTCACAATGCAAATTTTGTGAAAAAAAAGAATTACACGATCTGTACAGCCTACATGTATAGTGTACATGTGTGCATGCGTATGTCAGTCATATGTTCTGTGCTCAGGCACAGTTAACAATCACACTAATGTGTACTGTGCCTCAGTCCAACTAACCGTGCTTGGGGCCACTTTGTTGTGTACGTGCACCCAGGCACAGTACAGATTGTCGGGTGTGAGTACACCCTAAATGAAGACAGGAACTAGTTGGTTTTCATGCAGGAGAATGAGACACCACCTGGAACTGGTGCTTTCTTGGTATTTTGCCTTTGGAAGAGCTGACACACATCCACTGCACAGATCTTTCAGTGGAGACACTAGAGGAGCAGATGAGTGGGTAGTTGTTAGTTGTATATGGGGTAAACTGGAGTGGGTGGAGGCCTTAAGGCTGATTGATACTTCTGCCTCGAATCAATGACATAAATATGGCTTTAAATAACCCACCCTAGGCATCATAACAACAGATCTACAAAACACTCAGGATGACAGCGCCAGTTTCATTGATCTCCATTAAGTTTATTTGTACTTTATAAGACTAAAAAAAGTAGGTAACACTTTACTTAAAGCAGTCAGCATAATGCATTATACATACCTTCATAATGCATTGTAATGCATTCATAAAGTATTATAAACACAGCTATAAATATTTATAAAACAGCATATCACATTATAGCCATGTTCACTATGCATTATGAATGCTTAATGAAGCTGTCATATATAATGCACTATAGATATCTTCATAATGCATTGTAATGCATTCATAAAGTATTATAAACACAGTTATAAGTATTTATAAAATGGCATATCACATTATAGTCATGTTTATCATGCATTATGAATGCTTAATGAAGCTGTCATCTATAATGCACTATAAATACCTTCATAATACAGTACAAAGCATCCTTCAATCTAATACTGGCCATTATAATACATTATGCAGGTATTTATAGTGCATTATAAATCACAGCATCATAGAGCATCCATGCTGCATAATAAACATGGCTATGATGTGTTATGCCTTTTCATAAATATTTATAGTCATGTTTATTATTGTCAGCTTCGGTGGGGAGTGCGAGCAAGGAAGCAGGCAGCGAAGCCAGGAAGTCCGGTAGAAGGTTTATTTTTAGAGGCAGAAGGACAGGTGCGAACATCGACGGACTATACAACGATGACAGATCTGGGGTACACTGACTTAGACACGGACTAAATACAAGACACAGGCTAAGGGTAACGAATCACAGGTAAGAGACAATCAGGGAATCACACAAGGTAACGAGGTGGGCGTGGCACACATCGGGAGCGGACGGAGCGGGGCGTGACAATTATTGTCACGGTCGCAGGAAGGCGAGCAGGGAAGCAGGGGAATGGAGCCAGGAAGTCGGGTTGAAACGGGGATTTATTCGGGATAGAAGGGACCGGGGAAGCACAACAAGCAACATCAATGACGAGCCTGGGGAAGACTGACTCAGACGTGGACTAAATACAAAAGACAAGCCACGGATAACGAGCCACAGGTGAGAACAATCAGGGCGAAACAGGAGGTAATGAGGTGGGCGTGGCACACATTGGGAGCGGACGGAGCGGGGCGTGACAATTATACTTTATGAATGTATTTTAATGCATTATGTATGATGCATTATATCAGGGGACTTCATAGAGTGTTGTCAAAAAGTTAAAGAAGGAGTATAGACATTAACTTGACAGCACAAATATAACCAGTGGCCTGTACTACGAACCGGGGTTACTGGCTTACCGGGGTAACTTGTCGGATTTA